GTTTTTCAAGAATTGAGACGGATGGAGATGGAGTTGAGTATGGAGACTTGAAGAACAATTTTTCTAACCCTTGTAAGTGAAGCCACCAGCTGGTTATAAGGGTTCAAAAGGGGGTGTAAAGGTGGGGGAAAAGGAGAGCAAAATTCCCCCACAAAATATCCCCCGGATAAAGATCTTTTCTGGGGGTAAAGCTCCACAGCTGTAAAGTGCACAGTGCAAGGAACACGGCCGGCCTATCACTTTTTCTGCAGGTGGCCGGCCAGCCACCCCTACTAGCCGGCCAGCTACCCCTCCTAGCCGGCCAGCCACCCCCCCTAGCCGGCCAGCTAGGGGTCAAAAGGGTCAAGTTGAATTAATGGCCGGCCACCACTTTTTAGGGTCCTCCCATGTGTGTACATCACAAATATGTGGTTGAAAGTTGGCAACACTAACCCCAGGGTGTTCAACATTGGCCCGGAAGTCAGAAAAACGGGCGCCGGGAGGCTCCGGAGGAGAGATAACTGGCTGCTGCAACAATTGCCTGCCTCCCACCCTTCAGTGACCTTCCTAGTGATAAAACAGAGGTACCTGCCAAAAATGAACGAAAACCGTTGCAAAACGAATGCTCGGGGACCAAAACACGCAGTTCGGGATCCCAAAAACTGCCTGTTAAACACCGAAAGTGGCGTTCGGCCACGAAGTGGGTTTCTCAGACCCCAGTGTCCCTCAAAAGGGAGAAAATAAGATGTATGCCAAAAATCAGAGCAAACGGAGATGGTTAGGCGGTCCCGAACCGAGGCACACGGCCTGACGGCTCCGAAAACCGGAAACCGGGCTCCGAAATGAGAAAAATGGCCTACGGCCACCAAATGTAGCCCACGGGCATTGAGAGATAGTCTACGGGACCTCTCCCTTCCCTCAGGAAAAGAAACAGAGAAAACCGAGTCTGGTTCGCAAACCGAGACAAGGCGCAGAAGAGGGTTCGGAAATCCGGAGGCGGGGCTCGCAGCCAAGACTCTGAAACTTCTGAACGAGCACATTATGCAATATCACCAAGTGCTCAACTGGTGACGTCTGAGTCTCGAGGTCGGTCAAAAATGGGGTGTCTACAGTAAGATACAAGCAACTGCAAAGTAAAGTAATAGAATTTTTGCTACTTAATTTTTATGTTAATTCTCATTAATATTGTTGATCAAAACAAAATGTGTATTATATCAGCAATAGAATTTTAACAATATTTCTACTACCGGTATACTAGAAAGAAAAACCAAAATTTTTCAAAGGCTATGAAATTGATCTCCATTAATGATCATTGCAAATTTCTATGTTTCAGTTTCTATAATCTGAAAATGTGTGTACCCATAAACAATTACAAATGCAACAAAGTTTAATGGAACAATTTCATGGAACAATTAAAACCAATAATTACATATATAGCAATAACATCCTTTTCTTCCTTAGCAACAATTAAAACCAGCAATTTGCAGTATGACCTAGCAACCACTGGAACAATTTCAGTACACAAACCCAATTTTTGCAAATGAAATGCCCTAAATCATGTATTCCTTTGCACAAATTTAACATAGCAAGGTAGAAAAGGGTTTGCGATAAAGTTTCATAGAAAGGGGAAGAGTTTTGGAGGGGATTCCCACATGGGGGAAGGGGTTTGAGAGAGGGTTTTGTAGAACGAGAATGGGTTTGAGAGAGGGTTTCGGAGTGCAGGAGGTGGTTCGGTATATGGAAAACGATTACAGATAGATGATGGGGAAGAACAGGGATGTGGAGAAAGAGAAAGAGAAAGAGAGTCATACCTGTGATCAATGGGCTAGAACAGAGATGGAACAAGCAACGATGGAGGCCAACACAATGGCGAGAAAAGTGTTTTGCCTAGCAATAGACGTTGGCTACCTGTGAAGAGCCAAAATGAGAATTGGCAAAATGTCTCCTCAATTGCAGAGCGCGTTGGAGCTTTGAAATCCAGCTTCAATAGGCAAAATGCCTAATTCTCCCCTTTTGGCTCCTGTGTTGGAGATGCTCTAAAGTTTTTCTTTGACCCACATTGGAAGTTGTTTTTAAATCTCGTAGGAACTTATTTTGATAATTGAAATTATTTATTTTATTAAATTTTATTTATAGATTATTTATGAAACTTTTAAAATTTAATTTAATTTAATAATTATAATTATTTTTTATTTTTTGAATAAAATAAATATAATAAAATTATATAGTTATAATTATCATATCATTCTAATTTTTTTATCTATCCATAAAACTCGATAAAATGAACAATATATATGGTTGAAACAAGTCCCACAAGGCCCAAAAGCCTCACCCATTTGATTGCAAATTTTAATTTTAATTTAAAAGTAACTGAACTTAAAATATTAGTTAAATCCAATCTTACACTAACTAATTTAACAATTAAAAGTGAATTTTGTAGTAAAATAAAATAAAAATGATAAAATGACGAAATATTTAGGAGAAATTACAAACAAATTTAAATAAGAGTAAACTAGTAATTGCAAAAATTTTGTGAAACAAAAAGTAACTACACAATACATGGCAAGTTTAAAAAAAAGGGAAAATCGGTCTAGGGTCCCTAACTTAAAATATTAGTTAAATCCAATCTTACACTAACTAATTTAACAATTAAAAGTGAATTTTGTAGTAAAATAAAATAAAAATGATAAAATGACGAAATATTTAGGAGAAATTACAAACAAATTTAAATAAGAGTAAACTAGTAATTGCAAAAAATTTGTGAAACAAAAAGTAACTACACAATACATGGCAAGTTTAAAAAAAAATAATACAAAACATTATATAGGCGTTGTTTGGGAAGTGGGTTTGGGTGGATTTGGAGCTAAAATAGCCACAAAAACAAAATAAGTTTTTTAACTCAATAAAACAAAACATCACATTCAACCCATAATCATTACATTCTTTCTCTTACAAAAAAGTCAAAAAAGCCAAAAGCCCATCCCAAACTAAACTTTTTAGCCCCACGCTAAAATAATCAAAAAAACCAACCCATTTCTCAAACCAAGCCATAATTACTCCCTTTCCATACATTCATCTCTCCACACCTAACTTGTTGACCCTAATTCAGACATGCACCAATGATCCAAACCGTCTATCTCGTAAGTTTCGTAATAAAGGTCATTCATGCAAAAAAAATGAGTTTTATTGAAAATTTATAAATACAGGAACAAAAAATATTTTATTTTATAAAATGAATTGTTTAAATTTACAATTGCATTTATCATTCATTTTATAAAACAAAATGCCATTTTTTCTTAAATTTATAATTTTTCAATGAATTTATTTTTTGCATGGATGAGCTTTATTACGAAACTTATGAAAGAGACGGTTTGAATCATTGGTGCAGGTCCAAATTAAGACTTACAAGAGAAGTATGGAGGGAAACTTATTCCCTACTACCGACCACCATTCCCTTCTCATTCCTAGTGGCCTCCAATCTTACCTATGTCATTCCTCACCCTCTCTTATCCTTCACGACCTCCTTTAATTCCCTTTCTTATCTCTATACTTAAAACCTTCTCCATTGCCATAACCACTCCCAATTATCTTGAACTATCTTTGCCCATTCACAGCCACATCCTTGATTTTTTTTTATCATTTCTTTATCTTCTCTTCTTTTTCAAAACATCATCAATCGTCACCATCCGCAACCACCTTAAAAACCCTAAAACATATATATAGAAAAGAGGCAATAAAGAAGTCGCAAATGTGAGTGCTCGTTGTGATCTATTTTTTACAATTTGTAATGTGCCTTTCTCTCTCTCTCTTGCTTTTGTGGCAATTCGTTGTCACTATATGTGGAGATAAAATAGCTTCATCATTTATAGGGAGGGGCTTGCGATGATTGGAGAAGTTGGAAGAGACACTATTAGCGATGTGTGAGAGGTAATAGAAAACTTAAGATTTGTAGATGAAGGGAAATAAATAAAAGATAAAGAAAAAAAATGGTAGAAATTAGAGGAGTGGTTGGAGGTAATAGGAAATGAGTTGTCAATTAGAAAGATTGTTTGACACGTGATTAGGTTTACAAATTGTGGAAAGAGGGAAGGAAAGAGGGTGAGGAGAGAGGAAGAGAAGGTTAGGGTAAAAAATGAAAAGGGACAAACTTGTAATTTTTATTGTGTTTTGTATTTTTTTTTTAACTTACAATTATTTTTTGGGTAATTCTATTTTCACACACCAAAACATCTCATTTCACATCCTTTCTCAATACACATACCAACTAATTTTAAATTTTGTGATTTTACTCAATGCACAACCTTTTTTGCCAAAAATATCTCTCTGTTTAACATTGAAATCCTAAACCAATACGTATTTGTAACTGTCATTCAATCCCTGCCAACAAAGAACAACAAGAAGTAATAATTAGCATTTAAGATTAAGGGTGAACTCAGAGAGAGAGAAGAAACTTTACGCAACTAAAAGAAAACCCAGTTACAAATTAGAGAAATTGTTAAAAAAAAACATAAATGGAAATCAAAGGAAAGATAAATTGGGAAAATTGATGAACGAATGGAAAGGAAAGTGAAGGAATAAAGATAAAAAGAGTTCAGAAAATAGACAAGTCAAAGCTCCAACAACAAACAGGGTGAGAAGAAAAGGTCGAACAAGCAAAGAGCATAAGCTAAACAAGGAAAACCTAAAAGCAAATCGGGTCGAATTTGGGCAAAAAAGCGAGAGATAGACTGAAATTGAAATACCCAGATAGAAATTCAAAGGAAAATGTTAGAATAAAGAGGAAAAACCCACAAAGAGATTAGGGCTATGGTGAAGAAGATAAGGACACTTTAATAATTTTATTTTAAGATAAAATTATAATAAAAAAAAAACCATTAAATTTGTACACAAACATAAAGGTAAGCAGGTGTGTGGAATTTCCCTTATATTTTATTTTTTATTCCGCTATTTTGCAATTAGTTTGTTTTTTGATTTTTGTTTTTTTTTTTTGAAACGTATATTGCATTTTATGCAATTTTCCCATATATATATTCCAAGTTCTCAAAAAATAGGACCGGAGGCCATATTCTCTGGTGCTGCTTCTTCGGACGCGATTTGCCTCCATTGTCGTCTCCATCCACACACACGAACTTTGTACCTCCACTGCAGCGATCTACACACACATCGATTCCGAACAATTTCTTAATCAAATCACTCCGCATTTGATTCCCTCTCTCAATCACATGCCGACAAACCCACCCTAAAACCCTCACAATTCCACCGAAATTCTCGCCCCCAACCCCCCATAGCCTGTAGGGTTTCTCTCTCTCCTCAACCTAGCCTCAATTCAAGCATTGGCATCATCATATACTACCAGACCCAAATCTAGGGTTTTGGTGATCCCCCAATTGTTCTGTTATATTTATTTGATTTGGGTTTGGTTCTTTCATGGAAAAAGCTTCGATTTTTAATTAATTGTTCGATGAGCCGGAGCTATGGTTTTCTAAGGCATTCGTCATTGAATAAAAGGTGGGTAGACGATGTATTGATTGATTGATTATGTGTGTGTGTGTGTCGTCATGGATAGGCTCAATTTCAATATTTCATTTTCACCCGTGATGTGCTGTTGTGTTGTCTGAATGTTCTAAATGCAATTTGTCATTTTCTGATTTTTTTTGCAATATTTATTATTGGTTTTGTTTGTCACTAATTTGGGTTTTCTTTATTTGTTTATTTTAATGGTGGAAAAGGTCAAGGCATTGGTGGTGGGTGGTGTGGTTTGGGGCCTGCATTCTTTGTTATAAACTGGAGTTCTTGAGATGTCTGCTTTGAATCGTAACGGAATCAATTTGATCAACTGTTTCTTTCATTTTTCTGAATGGCATCCATTGGAATAGAGAAGCCCATTAGGGCTCGGGCCCAGAGACCTTCATAAACTAGGTTAGCATCTACTAGATAACTGAATTTGGTTTGTTTACATTTTGAAAACCCAGATTACCTATTGTTCTATTTTTCAAGTTTGATTTGATGTGATTTGTTTCTTGGAATTTATTTTCTGTCATAAATTGCATTGAGAGGAGAAGGATTTTTGTATTTGCAGTTGATGTGAATGCAAGTTATATTGTTTTGTTCAGGTTTTGGGATTGAGTTTGTCATTTGTTGCTGTGAAATATAATTTCTCTCTTCAAAACTGAAGTTTTTAATGTTTAAAAGCTATTCATTTACGAGAGTGACCCAAATGGGTTGCTGTGGATGTTTTGGATTTGCATTCACAAGAAAGCCCAAGAGATTAGCAAAGCGTAATGCACACATGGGCAATCATGCATCACAGGAGTTGTTGTTGAATGAAGAGATTGAAGATGAGGATGATTGTTCTTATAATGGTGATGTAACTGATACTGGAAATGGAGATGATGCCGAGATGCGAAGCCCAACGAAACGTTCTGAAGAGATTATCATGTACAGAACTCAACATGGATTGATTTGTAGAGAATTTCCTGTTAAGGAAACCCACAGACTTATTCGCTCAGAGGTAATTAGTGGATTTGTATTTTAGCTTCTATTGTTCTTATTCGAAACTTTTTCTGCTCAGTTCGGCAATTTGTTTCCTTGAATGTATATATTTGTTTTGGTATAAGTTGTCATGGACTCAAGGTTGTATAAGCATTGAAGACCTATGCCACCTAGTGAAATTTGTCCATGAGATGCTTTTGGGTTCAAATTATTTTAAGGATGCAATCTATTGCACTGGGCTGCTTTTCACAATTTCCCAAGTCAAACAATTGGCTTTGTTGTTCAATTCTGTCGATGATACAAGCACAACTCAATCTGTCCTTTTTGTGATTCAAAAAAATCTCATATTCAAACTTGCATACAACTCAAGCTCACAAACAAACATTCAAACTTGTGAATTGAAACAAACAGATTCAAGCATGTATACTGATCCAAGAGAGAAACAAAGAGTGGAGAAAAGAGAATGGAAGAGAGAGGGAGGAGGCTCATTGTGTGCAGCACCACCGTCACCATTTCATCAATGCTACCCACCCCCACCACCGCCATGGATAAGTGCCACAGCCATTGCTTTGCCACAATCAATCTGTATTGCCACCATCATGGTTTTTAGGTTGGAAGATTGAAGAGGGGAACAGAGGGGGAGGAGAGAACAGAGGGGAAAAGCGGGGGTGAGAGAGAACAGAGGGGGAGGAGTTCATTGGAGGGAGGGAGGGAGAGAGATGGATAGACGAGAGAGTAGAGAGGGAGAGAGTTTGTAATTATAATGAACGAGAGATAGACAAACTTTGTGAAATAGATGGCTAGAAAGAGAGAGGGTGTATTTTGTGAGACACTAGAATGGAAAGTAGATAAACCTACCCATGTGTAACGTGTAAGTTCGTTATAAGGTGATAAGATGGCGAGTGTAATCTCGAGGGGAAAGAGAGAGATGCTACTTGATCGTTAGCTTTCGCTCTACATTATGGAGATGCTACTTGATTGTTGAGATTTAAATTCTTCCATCCTTCATGTGATGCCTCTAGCTTTTTTGTTTAACGAAGATGAAAAGTATTTTCTAAGGTTGGCCAATTGCAGCTAGAGCCTATCTGTATTTGTGCATGCTAGTTTGGCCATAAGCCACCATATTACGAGTTGTTATCTTTTGTGTGCACATTTCCACTCAAATGTTTGTTGGTTAAGAAAAGGATGTAATATAACCTTATGTCTGGGAATGCCATAATGTAAAATTGTAAGTTGTTGTATCTGGCTTGGAGAATTATTATTCAATTTTGGTTCCATATTTAGGATGAAGACGGAAACAAGATGGTTAATGAATATGTTCGTGAATGCAAGATTGGCTCTGGTAGCTATGGAAAAGTGGTAAGCTTACATCCTGATAACATTCTGCAATTTTTTCCTTGCGACAGGAAGTTGTTCTTCAGTCTTATGGCCTTGTTAATGCAACAGGTTCTGTACCGAAGCAGTGTTGATGGGAAGCATTATGCAATTAAGGTATTGTTTTCATCATGTAGGGACTTTTGTATTGTGGAATATACTTTTTGTTCTAGCTCATCATATGAAACTACTTCTACTTCATTGTGCCCGAGGAAAAAAATCTCTTACTTTTATTGGATATGCTTTTTCTCTATGAGGGCATATGTAGTTAAGTTGTCTAATACATAAGCATAAAGGCATATTATCATTCTTTCTCTTGTGCTGAAGTTGTGAAGAATGTATGAACCTAAGTTACATTGATAGGATGAATGGGATGGTTGGACTGACTTAGGCCTCTTTTGGGAACAAGTTATTTTAGTAATTTTTTGGCTGTTTGGCTAACATATGAGGTAAAAAAAAACTAGTATGTTTGAAATGATTTTTTGGTTTTTTACGAAAAAATGTGCAAAAAGTAGAGAGAAAATGGAATTTTTGACTTTTTGGATTTTTTTAATAACTTTTTGGCTTTTAGGCTAAAACTCTTGCATGCCAAACGAGGCATTATTCTCGTTTCTAGATATTCCCAGTGACCCCTGTAGCCTGTAGTGCATAGTTCGAGCTGATCGTGGTCATTTATTTATTTGGTTTTGGCTTAGGATTGATTAATTTTAGTTAGAAAACAGAATTTGTTTGTTTGGTGCCATTATGAAATTCAAATTTAATGTCAAATAGTTTCAAAAGTAATTGTATCTGTCAAATTTTATAATTTCAGAGCATTATGAAATTGAAATTTAATGCCAAATAGTTTCATAAATGATGTATCTGTCCGATTTTAACTTTGCAGGCCTTTCACAAGTCCCATCTATTGAAACTGCGAGTAGCACCTTGCGAGACTGCTATGACTGATGTTCTACGTGAGGTATTCTCTAATGTCTTGTGTTATTTATTTTGTTAAACCATTGTTGACATGGATGGTTATAAGTGAAATTTCATGGAAAATGCACTATTTATTGATTTACATATCAGTTGGATATGGACACTTAGGCTTGGTTTGGCATGTTTGGATAAAGTCAAAAAGTCACTATCCTATTTAAGTCGTATCATCTTATTTAAGTCACATCACCTCTCTAACACATCACTTCAAACCCAACTCAAACCCAAACCCAAACCCAAACCCAACTCATATTTCATAAAAAAGTCAAAAAGTATACTTATTTAGATCATTCCAAACAACTCCTTAATGCTGAGAAGATGCAGCAGCTTATAATAGCTACTATATTTGAAGGGTTCCTTTTCTCCATCAATTATAGATTTGGTGGATTAGTTAGGCCATGTCGGTGCTGCATCTGGTTGTGTTGTGATCACACAAACAAATTCAAGATTTAAAAAAATTTCAGCATCGAAAGAATTCCTGGTTCAGGAGTTATTCTGGAAAATATTGTTTATAGTTTGGAAAACAATTATATAATTTTTTTGATTAATAAAAAGCAATGTTTATCAAAAAACTTAAAAATTATTCTTTATGTAATTATTATTCTAACTAATTTGGGAAATTTAAAATATACAGGAATTATTCAAAATATTTGGGAGGTTTGGAAAGAACATTGGCTCTGAATATTATTGAAATATGCGGGATATGTTTGGGATTTGTTCATTTGATAAAAACATTGGGATACATTCATTAGCTTTTTAGAATAAGCTCTTACAATTTTATTACCACAGTTGTGATATAGGGTAATGGCATCTAATCGTTTGGTATGAAGACTTATTTTTCTTGCTGCCAATATGGTTCAAACTTGGTTACTCCTTTGTTGGTTTTTAGTAAATTACATAGGCAGTTTTGGTGTGCTTCTGATTTTTGGGTTTTTGGTCAATGGTTCTTTCGTTTCATGTATTAAGTTCTACTTCATTTTACTTTTGATTTTTGGGTTTTTGGTTGATGTTTCTTTCATTTCATCTTTTTGGTTGATGGTACTTTTGTTGGTTCTTCCGTTTCATGGTTGATGGTATTTAGTTCTAGGATAATTGTGTTAATTCTTGTGCTTTGCAGGTTTTAATTATGAAAATGTTGGAACATCCCAATATAGTTAATCTCATTGAGGTGATCGACGATCCTACCACAGACCACTTCTACATGGGTATTCTTTGCTGCTTTTTATTATTCATCTCTCTCTCTCCCTCCCATTCCCGTCATGTTTGTGTCTACAAGTGATCTTTGTCTTGCACTATGTTTGTAATTTTTGAAGAATGTGAAAGTTGCTGAGTTTGATGGTGGACACTTGTGTTTGCTCAGTTCTGGAATATGTGGAAGGCAAATGGGTCTGTGAGGGTTCTGGTCTACAAGGTGGCCTAGGAGAAGACCAAGCACGAAAGTACTTGCGGGATATAGTTTCAGGGTTGATGTATCTTCACTCTCATGTATGAGACCAACTTGTCCCCCTTTTTTTAATAATAATTTCTATTAAAACATATTAGGGGTTTTGTTGTGCGATCATTTATAGGAATAGGGATGCACAAAAATACCCAGAGAACCGGAGAACCAAACCAACCTGACCTTTATAGGTTGGGTTGGGTTGATTCAGTGTTTCCAATGTTCGGTTTTGGGTCTTAAAATCATCAACCTAATAGGATTGGGCTGGTTCTTGGTTACCAACCTGAGAACCAAACTTATATATATACGTATTGCATAAATTTTATTTATGTTGACATGTTTTGCAAATACTAAGATGGATTTGATTGCACTTTATCATTTCATATACATGATATTAATTCACATTTTAAAATGTACACTTGAACACCAGAAAATGCTCGATACTTCTCCTATTACGTCTTGTGGTCTGTTTTACATGAATATTGGTTGTAGTTTGCCCGTTTTTGCCCCTTCTTGTGTTAACAAAGGTTATGTGGATTTTTGTTTCTTGCTCAACAGAACATTGTACATGGGGATATTAAACCTGATAATCTTTTGGTCACTGCTGGCAGCACAGTGAAGATTGGCGATTTCAGCGTCAGCCAGGTTTTTGAGGTATTGAGCTTTGCTTCAACCCTGATTTGATCAGAATAATTGTGTAAATATGTTGTTTTCAATTCAAGTAATGATATGCAGGAATTTTGAAAAATGAAACTGTCATTTTGTTCGCGCTTTCTTTTCATCCCTTCACAGGATAAACCTTTTTATTAGCTTCTGTTGGTCATGGTTTCTTCTTTTTGAAATCTGGAATAAGGATTAGAGCTGAAAATAAACTTGATATTTCAAGCTCAGCTCTAATCAGCTTGTAAGGATAGGTGAGACATGCTTGATCATTTTTTCAAGCTCATAAATTTTATGCCAAAATGCAGCAAGAGAACTGTGAGAAGACATCAGGCTTGTGAGTGATTTGCTATGTGTAATTGTTTCTTGATTGCTGCTCATAGATCAAGATGTATTTTTGTTGTGATTCTATGTATGTATTTTTGTTCTATGTGAAAGCACCCATTTCTTTGTATTATTTTTCCGCTGCAACCGCTAGGAAGTGCAATGCAATATTATTATTATTCTTCCTGGCTGCCTTATACTGGGATTGAGTTGCTTTCATTTGTAGGATGATAACGATGAGCTTCGCCGCTCTCCTGGAACTCCTGTTTTTACTGCACCAGAGTGCTGTTTAGGTTAGAGCTCCCTGCCCATGTCGAGAATATATTTTTTGTAAAACTAAAATCACAAGGTGGATGATATATATCTACCACTCACTCATTGATTTTTATCTGATTAACAGGTCTAACATACGGTGGCAAAGCAGCTGACACGTGGGCCGTGGGAGTTACATTGTACTGTATGCTATTCGCTAAATACCCATTTCTTGGTGACACTCTGCAGGATACATATGACAAGGTATTGTGGATTGCTTGAATTGCCACATTAGTTATTGTTTAATTATTTATTTATTATTATTATTATTTTCGTTTGTAATGCTTGAACTTTCGGCCTAAATATGGGTACTCTTGCATTTCCCAGATTGTTAACAACCCTTTATCTCTTCCTGATCATATGAACCCCTTACTGAAGAACTTAATAGAGGGGTTACTCTGCAAAGGTCAGTTTCTTCTATTACATCCGGTATTGTTGGGTTTTTCTTTTTAGAAAATATCAAAAAAAATTGAAGGGAAAATAATTTCAAACCCATGAAAGTGCAAGCAGTTCATGCACTAGATTTGTCTGAGTGTTGTACTTTCAAGAGTTTGAAACTATTTTCTCCACTTCACACTTTTTACTTTTCTCCTTTTCTTTTTCTCAGTAGGTTCATTTTTGTTTTGAAACATTGTTTACGCAGATCCAAGAGAGAGGATGACATTAGGGGCCGTTGCAGAGCATGCGTGGGTGATTGGAGAAGAAGGGCCGATCCCTCAGTATTTATGTTGGTGCAAGCGCAAGAGGTTGGAGAGAGAAGGATCTGATGATGGGAGCAGAAGCGACAATCAGGCTCATTCGGACATATCTGTTTAACTTGTTGGATTGGATTTGTTTTTTGTACAGTCTAAAGCTAGGGTTTTTGACTCTGGCTAATGACGTAAACATATGAAGACCTAATAAAAAAATAATAATTAAAAATACAAAAAAAGAAAAAAGGAAAAAAAGAATGAAAATGGCATGCAAGTAAACAATTCGGAACATAAGGTTGTGTGTGGTTGATTACTGACCAATGCTTGTAGTTGATACCGAACGCCAAGGAAATGAGTAGGCAGATCAAGATATACCCTTTTCACTCCTGAGTCCTAACATGCTTAATTTCAATCAGATTCTGAGGGTGTGGTTTTGTGTTATAGCTTGTAAAGTACAAGAATTGTGGGAGACAATTTTCAAAATCTTCTTTGCCACTATTATTTGCTGATCTTTTTGTGTTTTTCTGAAATTTCCATTAGCCAATGGAAAAAAGTGGAAACTCATTCTCAGGACTTTGTTTTAGGTGTCAACTGCTGTGAAAGTGGTTATTGTGCAGTTCCTGATGTTTGTTTGTGGAAGAAAATATTAGGGTTTCTGTGTTGGAGAAGTGTAAAGACAAGAATTGGCTTATCACCAATATTTAACCGTTGCACCATGTGGCTAAACTGATGGGTACTCTTTCATTCATTATTTGTCGTGTGGTAAAAAATGGAACTGGTCCACTGGGCTTTGACGTCGAGCTCTAACTTGTTGAATCTTACATTTTTCGCATAATAAATAAAAGGTGAAAATGTACATTACGTTAGCTCGAATTGTAGCTTTTACATATGAAATTAAATATTTTTTTTTGTTGGTGCAGAGCCTTTTATTGTGTTTAATTATGAAAGGGAAAAAAGGAATAGAGAGCGGGTGGTCCTGAGGTCCTTTGGTTGTTGGTGGTCTCACCCTTTGCAAGCTAACTTGCATAGCAATCTTGTCTTGTCAACCCCCAACAACACACACCCCACCATTTAGTTATGTTTATGTACAAGAAGAGAAAAGATGAGTACTTGTGGAGAAAAAGATGAGAAGAAAGTGGAAGTTGGAGAGTAGAGAGTTAGAAAAAAAAATTATAAAGTTTTCATCAATTGTTTTTTGGTTAATTAAAATAAGATCTTCTCAATTATTAATCAATATTAGTATTATTTCTTTCTATTTGTGAACCCATACTTGTAATATGATCTTTTTTTTTTTTTTTTGATGACTCAGGTATCCCCACAGCCGAAGCATGGGACTAGTCCTGAGGGCCCTGAAATTAACGACCGGGCAAACCTCCAGTGGCCCGCACAGTAACCCGTGGGGAGTAGGATTCGAACTTGAGACCTCCAGGAGGAGCAAACTTCCAGACCTCAGGTTAAAGTTTTCATCAATTGTTTTTTGGTTAATTAAAATAAGATCTTCTCAATTATTAATCAATATTAGTATTATTTCTTTCTATTTGTGAACCCATACTTGTAATATGATCTTTTTTTTTTTTTTTTTGATGACTCAGGTATCCCCACAGCCGAAGCATGGGACTAATCCTGAGGGCCCTGAAGTTAACAACCGGGCAAACCTCCAGTGGCCCGCACAGTAACCCGCGGAGAGTAGGATTCGAACTTGGGACCTCCAGGAAGAGCAAACTCCCAGACCCCAGGTTTTCTTCCCTCACCCACCGGGCTACCCTTGCGGGTTCTTGTAATATGATCTATATTCCCACATAAGCATTGTCACCGTTATTTGAGGGCTTGGTATTTGTTGAAATTAGATCTATATTCCCACATAAGCATTGTCACCGTTATTTGAGGGCTTGGTATTTGTTGAAATTAAACAATTTGTGTTCAACAACGTTAAGAAACGGAGAATGATTTACAGAAAATGCAATAAAATGTTGGGATCAAACTCGATTGTGTTGAGTTGCATATTCAAAATAATTCTCAGTTGATCGGTGCACTTTATGTGACTAATTATGTATTTTAGACTTCATTTGATTTTGATTTGGGTTGGGTTTTGAAAAGAAAGGAAAAAGTGAGTGGAAAATTTATGATTCAAATACAATTTATGAATTAAAAAAAAATTATTTTGCTATAAAGTCTTAACTCATTTGACAAATTTATTTCTCATTTAAAGCACACTTTAACCACTTAAAATAATAATTAGAAAAACCAAAGGTTATAATTTTTTTAATAGTATCACTTTTTTATAGACTTATTTTTAAACAACAAATTAGTTATTTTTTAAAATAAATTAAAAAGAAAAAACTTCACTTTATGGTTTTAGAATCAACATTTTGTATTAGTGTTCTTGCTTTTGAAATTGAGCAATAAAATTCACAATCAAATGGCTCTTTGTCAAATTCACTATTTGTTTGAATATGTTCCCTTAGGAAAAACTAGATATAGAGATATAAATTGCAAAATTTCAGAATAAAATTAATTTCCCTGGCAAAATAAATAGTTGGTTCCACAAAAATAAAAATAAATATAATAATAATAAAGAAAATGGAAAGATGCTTTTGAGGTTGACACATGGTGCAATATAGGGACAGTTAGCTCTATATTCATGGCCCAATAGCAAGGAATAAAAGAACAACACTTGATTCTATTCCATCTTTTCCATGTTTATATTCCTTCTTTTCACATATTATTTTAAAAAATGGTTAACGACAATCCAATAAGCATTTAGTTGAGGTTTAAAAAATGTGTGAAAACATATTAAAATATTTGTGTGGGTGATTTTTTGATCACATTGCCAAACAAGTATTCAGTTAAAGAGCACCGGCAGAATAGATTAAGCTCGAACGACCTGCAACAGAAAGAAGAGATTTCGATGATGGCTCGTCCACCCGAGGGTACTCCGACGATCAAGTCAATAATATCTCTCAAAGATAACCAATAGTGCTTAACTCACTAGACAGAATACAAAAGGCATACTTTAGACCCATGGAGGTGCCTCCCTTTTATAGCCAACACAATCTTAATCCCAATAAAAGCCTAGCTCTAATAGACTTAGGATTACTGCTAATCTTGAACTCCTAATAGGATTAGGATAAACTCTCTAAAAGTCTCATCTTTACCCAAACTGAAGTCTTCTCTCATTCTAGGACTCTTGTCCCTTATCCACTTATCTCGGATTCCGACATCTTCGCAGATAACCTCGGCTTAGCCAAGATTATCTCGGCGTCATAACCAGGACACGTGGCACCTCGGCTGGCACTTCAGTGACACCTCGGCCACGTGTTGTCATTCAAAAATTATGTCCCCACAACTGCCCCATAGGTTCTATTGCCTCGGTATCCTGAAGTGATGGAACCTATATCATTCCTTCCTTTAATCATGACCCCGGTTTAACTTTAACTTGTAAACTTTTCTCAAGTTTCAACAAGTGTTAAACGTAATCTCGGTTTAACTTCAACTTGTAAACTTTTCTCAAGTTTCAACAAGTGTTAAATATCATATCGGTTTAACTTCAACTTGTAAATTCTCTAAGAATTTCAACAAGTGTTAAACATCATCTCGGTAAACTCTTCTCTTCTTGGACTTAATTATCTTAGGCCGAGATCTTGTCTTCTGGGATCTGGGATCCGAGATCTGGAATCCATGATCGGCTTACTTGGGCTGAGCTATTGTCTTCTCATATCTAGTGCTATCTCGGCTTCGCTACGACGAACCATTTCTCTTCTCTGGTTTGGACACCTTTATCCCCAGCGTGTCCTCATCGGCTCTGGCATACTTTTTTATCCTGGCCATCAGCTTCTCCATGCTTTTTGGTAATATCTTTGCCAGTGATTTTCGAAGCAGGCAGTCATCTTTCAAGCTGCTTTTAAATGATACAACCGTCACCTCTTGGTTGCATCCTGGTATTCGGTTGAATACCTCATAATACCTTTTGGCATAGGCCATAAGGCTTTCATCCTCGCCGATCTTCAGGGCCATTAGGGCGTCCACCCTCAATGGCTGTAGCTTGTTTGTCACGAACCTGGCCACAAACATCTCGGCCAGGCCTTTCCAAGTTTTCACAGTTCCTTTTAGCAACTTGTGAAACCAATCCGATGCAATTTCTCCAAAGGATGAGGGGAACACCTTGCAGAGTAACGGCTCGTTCCCGGTGTACAACGCCATGGAGTTCAGGTATAAGCCGACATGAAAGTTGGGGTCCGACTTACCGTCATAGATCTGGAATCTCGGCATGCTAAACCTCTTCGGGGCTTCGAATTTGTTCAATTCTATCGAGAATGGAGTTCTCGGCTTGACCGGGGAGATTACCTCGGCGTCTTGTTGCTTCTTCTGTAGGTGATCTCTCAAGTCTTCCTTGGTCCGCCCAAGAGCTCGGCTATCTCCTGATTTTAGTCTTTTCGGTGCACTGTTCTTAGCTTCGTTGTGAGCCCTTTTTGACCTTTCTCCATTAGTTGTGTTGAAGCACAACTCCTGCCCTTGAACATGTCGATGCTCTTTGGGGTCTTCTTCCTTGCTGCAGTGTGTCTTTCGAGATTCTTTCCTTCTCGACCCTCTTCGCCCGACCTCCCTTGAAGGTCGGTGAGAGTGTTCTTTGCTCCTGGTGTGTTGGGGGACTGCAGGGACTATTTTCTGCCCCCTTTTCTGGACGTCTTTTTTGGCTGCTGGAATCGGCGTATCTTGTGACGAGAACAGTGGTTGCATGTCGTTGTTCTGTATCATGAAATTGACAACTGTTTGCAAGTCCGCCAATTTGTTCGCCATTCCTTTCATCTCGTCGTCCCTTCGTAAGCATCTTTCTTTCCATACCTGGGGGTCGTTCTCGTTATAATACTTGCTTCGGTCTGATTTCTTCGGCATGTCGCCCTCCTGGCCGACGTCCTCTTCTCCATGATTCTTATCACGAGTTTCTTCGTTGTAGTTGTCTTCTTCGACGCCAAGGTCAATATGTTTCTCACTCTCAGTAGGGGTGTCGTCCCCAACCTTCTCTTTCGGTTTGTTGCTGGCCATCTATTCTCATTTTGTTCCCACAGACGGCGCCAAATTGTGTGGGTGATTTTCTGACCACACTGCCAAACAGGCACCCAGTTGGAGAGCACCGGTAGAATAGATTAAGCCCGAATAACCTGCAACAGAAAGAAGAAATTCCAGCGGTGGCTCGTCCACCCGGGAGTACTCCAACGATCAAGTCAGTACTCAATATCTCTCAAAAATAACCAATAGTGCTTAACTCACTAAACAGAATACAAAAAACATACCTTAGACCCATGGGGGTGCCTCCCTTTTATAACCAACACAATCCTAGTCCCAATAGGAGCCTAACTCTAATAGACTTACGATTACTACTAATCTTAGACTCCTAGTAGGATTAGGATAAATTCTCTAAGAGTCTCATCTTTACTCAAACTGAAGTCTTCTCTCATTCTAGGACTCTTGTCCCTTATCCGCTTATCTCGGATTTTGACATTTTCGCAGATAACCTCGGCTTAGCTGAGATTACCTCGGCATCATGACCAGGACACGTGGCACCTCGGCCAGCACTTCGGTAACACCTCGACCACATGTTGTCATTCAAAAATTATGTCCCCACAATATATATAAAATATGAATTATAATTATAATTTTTTTTTGACATTATTTATTGCTTAACCAATGCCAATTGAACGCTGATTAGAGGAAGAATATAAATACAAATTTTGGGGTCTTTCATGAGCCATGACAAAGACTTGATAAACTTATCTATTAAAGGAAAAAGCTTAAAAAAAAATTTCCCTAGTGTAGGCTTCTAGTCATTTTTATTTGTTTTTAAATTTCACTGTAGAAAAATAATAAGGAATTAGTGAGGGTAAAGGGTGTCGCCTTAGGTCACGTAGTGTGACTTACGTTTTGATAATCAATTTTGAATTTGAGAAAAAAAATTTCACTGCAAAGACCCTTAAACTCACATATTGAACTTACAAAAAAAAAATAATAATAATAATAAATATTCACACATCTCTCATTTTGAATTTTTTAATTAAAAAACTTTTTAGTTTTACTTGCTAGTTTTAATGGTTACATCCAAACTTATACTTTCACATGTGAAAGGAATAATGAAATGAGAATACAAGAATTAGTTCAACAATAAAAAAAAATGAATAATTGAATGACAATTATAGATTCATCTCATCAAAAAAATGAATAATTAAATGAGAATATTATAAGGTGGAGTTGGCAATGACTGGTTTCTTTTTTCTTTATGAGTTTTTTGATCTAGGAAAAAATGTTTTTAAATTGATGTCAAACAGGACTTACATAATTTTATTAGTAGTAAAGTATAATTGTAATTTATTTTTATTTTTTTTTATTATTATTATTAAAATATTGGTTTTGGAGCTAGCTAGTGTTGATAATGATAAAAGACTAGTCATAAAAAAAACAAAAGTAGTTGCCCACTAAATGTACTTGGTGCATCAATTGGTGTGGTGGTGCCAAAAACTTTTGAGATCTGAACAACTGCCCAGTCCCCAGTTTCAGTCCCAGTTCCAGTGCCAGCCAAACCCCAAGTACACAAATGGCTTTATTGCTTAATTACTCCAATGCTCTAAAAAAAAAGTATACAGAGAGAGAGAGAGAAAGAGAGAGAGAGAGAGAGTACTTGGCAGATATATATATATATTTCCCATATGTATATAACACTTTTGCAATCAATCCTTGGGGAGCAGCCAACTGTACACCTTTGAAAAAAGTGGCATCCAAAAATTTCAAAAGGGTCTTTTGGT